AAGATGTGAGTTATGGTTTCTTCTGCTCTCTTACAAATTGCGCAAGTATTCTCCATTGTAACTCCGATTTGCTGAAGGTAGGAGTTTGTGGGCAGCCTATTTTTAAAACACTACCATAGGAAAAAATTGATTTTATTTAGGGTGTGTAGTTTTCAGATCCAATCATAGTCGGTTGTTTTTGGGATGTGTTGGTGCAGTAATTTATAGACTAAGCGGGTGGTAAAGGTGTCATTTATGTTTGGCATCCACAGGGGTGTGTCCACTGCATAGGGGTTTTGTGTGAGGGGGCTGGCAGTGATGTCTGAGGTAACATTGGTGGGTAGTTCAAATGATATTTTTGACCAGTCCCACCGATTATTTACCTAGACCTGATCAAGAGTCAAGTTGCTCTCATTTTTGGTTAGAGGACCATGAATGATTGAGCGGATATTCGTTTTGTTTGGGGCCCAGCAGCCGTAGTAGAAGTTTATGGATTTTTCATTTCCAATATCCCAAGCAAGTCCCTTGCTGATGGTTTCCCACCCTTTCATGACATTTTGCCAAATGAAGGAGGTGACCTTGATATTGGTCCTGTTACAGTTGTTCTGGATTAGAGTATCTGCCCACAGTGTGGATGAGTTGGTAAATAGTCTCCAAACCAGACCTGCTAGGATGGCTTGGTTTTTATGCCATGCTTTTGGTATCCCTAGGCCACTTAGGTCCTTTGGAGGGTTAAAATATCCCACGAAACGTAGTGGATCTTTCTTTTAGTAGCGGTTGTCCCCCAAATAAAATCCAGCTGGATTTTGTCAATTTGGTGAAGGGTTTTCTTTGGGAGGGATATGTATTGCATGTTATGGTTAGGGATAGCATTGAGGGATGCTTTTGCAAGGGTTGCTCGTCCTGCAAGTGTCAGAAAGTTTGTTTTCCAGCTAGAGAGCTTATTTCTCAAGTTGTCAATTACAAATTGAAAATCCAATGGTTTGGGCCTATTATTGATAATTGGGAAGCTCAAATATTTTTCAAACTGGGTGGTCTGTTTAATGTTAAAAAGGTTGATTATGTAGTCTTTTAGGGTAGTGGAGCAATCCAGAGAATAGAATTTTTGATTTATTGTTATTGATTTTGTGGCCTGAGAGGGAGCAAAAGATTGTTAGAGAATGATGAATAGAATTGATTGTTTTCCTATTTGCTTGGGTCGTGAATGTTAAATCGTCTGCGTAAAAGATATGTGATACTAGGGGTCTTTTTGGTCCAATTTTGATTGGGTTCCATAGGGAAATATCGACTTGGTAATGTATGTAAACTGATAGCAATTCCATGGTAAGGATGAACAGATAGGGGGATAGTAGATCCCCTTGTATGATCCCTCTCGATGGTTCAAAGTAATTTGTTTGTCCCCCATTGACTAAGACGGCTATTTGACTAGTGGTTATGCAGTTCATGATCAGGGATGTGATTTTTGGTGGGAATTTAAAGAAAATGAGGGCTTTGTACACAAAAGACCATTCTAACCTATCAAAAGCTTTTTCAAGGTCTATTTTAATAATTAATTGACCATTTCTCCCCTTTTTATTTTTTGAATTGGTTGATCACTTCTTGTATAATAATTCCATTATCACAAGCCCTCCTATCTTTTAAGAAACTTGCTTGACAAGGACTGATTAGTTCAGGAAGAAAAGGCTTGATCCTGTTGACAATTATTTTGGTGATTATTTCGTAAGTGGTGTTGCAAAGGCCTATTGATCTAAAATTATTGAGATTGTTTGCATGTTTAAATTTGGGAATGAGGCAGAGGAGAGTTTGGTTTATTTCCTTAGGGATTCTGGATAGGGAGAAAGCTTCTTTGCATAGTCGTATGACAGAAGGACCCACAATATTCCAGTGACGTTGATAGAATATTGGGTGCATGCCATCCGTCCCCGGGGCCTTGTGTGACTTGAAGGAGTATACTGCAGAAATAATTTCATGAGTGGTTAGAGGTCTATCTAAGGATGAGAGATTTATATTGGAGAAACTTTTGTAGGCACTATTGATAGTATTCCATTCCGATAGTGTATGGTTGGTGGCGAATATGTCTTTGAAGTAGAGGTGTGTATGTTCAATGATTTTTTGGCGATTTGTGATCCAGTTATCTGAATTATCTTTGAAAAAGGAGATACTATTATGCCTTCGCCTGTTAAGGACAGATATGTGAAAAAAATTTGTATTTGCGTCCCCCTCATTGAGCCAGTTTATCCGAGATCTAATTTTCCAATAATCTTCCTCTAGTCGGAGGATATTGTTATACTCAATAATAAGAGTATGTTCTAAGTTTCTAAGGTAGGTGCTAAAGGTGTATCTAGGTGAGTTTTGGATACCCTTAATTCTATCAAGTAATCTCTTCTTATTAGCAAAGATATTACCAAAATTTTGGGCACTCCATTCACTAACATTATCTTTGAAGCAAGCTTGGGTATCATTAAGGTTTCTATTATTCCAACTTTTCTCAACAATTTTACTAAACTCCAGGTGGCTTAGCCAATATTTTTCTAATCTAAAAGGTTTTTTTGGTAAATGTCCTAGTGTTTGTAAGTCTAAATAGTAAAGGGTTATGATCTGAGTATGTTTTTAGGAGATGAGTAACTAGCACTGACGGGTATTGTTCTAGACAGGACTCATTTGCAAGGCATCGATCTTGTCTTTCTAGTATGAGACCTTGCCTCATATGGTTGGACCATGTGTATCTAGTGCCTTTAAAACCTAGATCAATTAAGTTACAGTGGTTGACACAAGACCTAAAATTTGAAGATCTATTTCTGTTAACACTTATGCCTCCCCATTTCTCATTTTGATTTAGTACATCGTTGAAATCACCACCCATCATCCAGGGTCCTTTATAATTTGCAAAAATATTTTTAAGGTTATTCCGTAAGTCTAATCTATTTACCAAGGAGTTGCTAGCATAAATAGAACTAAAAAGTCAAGGATTATGATTTGGCAATACCTGGACTAGTGCATGAAGCTCCTGGTCAGTTTGCCTAACTCTCTCCACAGCTATCAATGTGTCAACCCACATGATCACCATTCCTCCAGCTCGTCCTACAGCTGGATTTTCTATATAGTCAAAGAAGTTGAAATCTTCCCTAAGGCTTGCATGGTTGTCCATTTTTGTCTCCAATAGTGTCACCATGCATGGATTGTGGTTGTTGACAAGTTCCCTAAAGTTGCGTCTGAATTCTGCATTGTTTGCACCCCTTACATTCCAAATGATTATGCTAGTAGGTGTATTCATGAGATGAGAGTGATTTTGGAGGGTAGGGACATAATTTTCCCTTCATGAGGGGGCTGCCCCTCAGTGTTGGATTCAGTAGCACTGCATATTTTACTGTCATGGTGTTGATTGGTGGAGTTATCTTTATTGAGCATTTTGGAGTGACACTGGACAGCGTAGTATGTATTTCCTGTCCTCCCTCTCCGAAAAGATCATAAGGTCTATATCTCTTATTGTTGATATTTCTGTGAAAGAGCTTCTTCCTAGAGGGGGAGGTATCACTATTTTTTCTGCCTTTGGAATTTCCTGGTCCCCGTTTGGACCTTGTTCCATTGGAGGGTCCATATGAGTGGGAGGTTGTGTTTGTTGTGGTGTCCAAGGGAAGAATAAAGGGTTCATCTCTGTCACCTCCTGTGATGGGAAAAAAGGGAGGTCGAACATTTAGTTCATGTTCAGGAGGGAATTGAAGTGTTGTGGGAGATTCCAATAGTTGTGCATTGTGTGGTAAAGGGCAGGGGCTACTGTTGGGGCTAGAGGGTCGAGAATGTTTGCCATCCACATATGATTCATGTAATTGTACATGGCCATTCTAATCCCCTCCGCCACTACTTGTGCTAAGAAGTTTGGGTTTTGTATGATTATCATGACTTCCTGCCCCTCTATCATCATTGAGAAGAAAAGGGCTTGACCTTGGAGTCCCTGCTCGATCCATGAGGTAGGTTGATGATCCGGGTGTTGTGGTTGAGTTGCATAAACTAGATTCGGGTTGTGCATGGGATTGTTTGGATTGTTGGAATTCACTGTTGGAATGTGGAAGGAGTGTCTGGGCACTTTGTGAGTTAATAGTGTCAGTCGAGACCTTTTGTTCAGTGGTAGTAGAAGATTTGGCATTTGATTGTTGGGAGTTAATTATTAAAAGGTTTTTGGAGGGCTGCTGAAAAGGTGAGGGGAATGATTGTGTATCTTTTGTATTAGATTCAAGATGGGTTTGATTGGGTGGGGTTGGCGTGTGTGAGTATATAACATCCGTTTGGTTAGTTGTGTCCATAGGTTTTGCCATTTGGACAGTGTCCATTGACAAGTGTGTGCATGTGTAATTCATGGTGTCCGATTTGTCACCTGGATATTGAGGGTTGAGTGCATGCATGGAGTGATTAGCGTCTAGGTTATAGTTGTCAATAGCTTCTAGACATAATGACAACTTGTCATGCAAGTGTACTGCATGGTTATTGGTTGAGGCCACCTAATAGACACATGGCATTTCAGGTGTGGCTTGGTTTCTTGGATGTATCGAAGAGTCCTTGTATGAGGGAGAGGAAGGGTTTTGTTGTTTCAGAGGAATATTTGTCGAAATTTCCATCTCTTCGTCTTCCTCAAGTTCCTGAAGAGATTTGAATTTGTTATTGAGAGGTTGGGATTGGCTGGGGATGTGATGGTCTGTTATTCTAGTTGAGTTCCCAGTTGAGTGCATAATTTTTCGATTTTTGACAGAGTGTGTTGGGGTGTTTCTTAAAGATTGGGATTCATCAGTTTCTTTCAATCTATAGGAAAGTTTTTGAGTGTGGAGATACTTACCTGTGGTTGCTTCAAAGATTTTGACCTTAATACCTGTGTGTCTGTTTTGAATGCCTTGGTGAAGAGGTCTCTGTGGTGCTATGCTACTCCTTGTTGCTACTGGGTGTGGTGTGTTTGCATGTGTTTTATTCTTCTTATGGAACGCAATTGTTTGCCACCGGTTAGTTGGGGTGTTGGGGGTAACCGACGTGTGTTATAGGTCTGGAGATGCTGGTGTAAGTTTGGTGTGAGGGCAGTGGTGGATAGTATGTTCTAGTCTTCCACAGGCTTTGCAGAGGATGTGCTCTCCTTCATATATGATTTCTTGTTTGTAATTGCCTATGAGTATACAAGATTGGACTGGCTCTTCAAGTTTCATTTCAATGCATAGTCGTGCGTATCTTCCTCTTAGTGCTGCACTTGTACAGGCATCAATCTTCAGTAGGTTTCCTATGGTGTTGCCTATTTTCTTAAGTATAATTGCATCATAGAACTCGGTGGGCAACTGAGGAAGACGTATCCAAATTGCCGACCTCTCTTGGGTAGCATGGCTTGCTACAAAATTTGGTTCCCATTTTTTGAGGGATAGGAAGAAACCATTGATGAACCGGGGTCCATTTTGGAGTGCACTGACCATATTTTCTTCTTTGTTGAACTTGACTATGAAATAGTCGGATCCCAGATCTATTAGTGGGAAGTTATCCGATGGTTTCCACATTTTCTGCAATTTCTTCTTTAGGTATTGATGTTGTATTCGTTTGCCTAGTAGCTTAATGATCAGAGAGTATCTCCATGGTAGATACATTCTATTTTTATCTTCTTCTGTTAGATGGATTGTTCTTATACCTTCCTGCAAGTCGTTTGATGTTTGTGGTATTTGGTCCTCTGTTAATTGTTGCTCTTCCATTGTTTGTTCATCTTCTGGCATGTTAATATGTATCATGAATTCTGGTGCCAGTAGTTTTTCCTTGAAGGTTGTTTGGAGGCCTGCACTTGTGCCATTAGTAGTTTTGGGTGTGATAGTGGTAGATGTGGTATATATGGTAGTAATATCTGGTGGCTTTGGTGGTATGTGTTGGGTTGTTGTTTCAGTTTCTTCTTTTTCCATACCAGATTTTTTTTCTTTTACTGCTTTTATTGTCACATTGTTCAATGTAGTTGATTATTGGGATCAATGAAAAAATAACATGGAGAAGAGACCAATAAATTAGGTTAGATAAGGGGAGGAGTAATTGACAAACCCATGCACGACTTAACATAGCATATTTTACCATATACAGATAGTTCATCTGCTTTCCGGTGATATAACTTTGTGTGTCGAAAAGTTGGTAGAAATATAATAATATAATTGAGCATAATTTTCAAGAATATATAATGTATATTATAAAAATACCTTTATTTAAATAATTATTTTTATATTATGTGCATGGAATATATATTTTACAACCTTTATTTTTATTCATCTGAATTGTGTAAATAAATTTTGAATTTTTGTTGTTAATACTAAAGTTATTATTACCAACATATTATTCTAATTATTTTTTTACTATGCTCATTATTTTGTTATCCAGCATTATATATGCTTAAATACTTTCTATTTTTTTAATTTATAAATAATATTTATTTATTTTATAGGTAAGTCCATAATATAAATTAAAAGAGAAAATTATAATATTAAAAAGTTTTTTTTAAAAAAAGAAGATAAATGTTTATAATTTAGAGGGTAAAATAGGTATTTGGCAATCCAAAATTTGGAAAATCTAGTTGAGTGACCTTCTGAGTGCAATAAACATAGTTCAGTGACTTTGTTGTTACAAACGAAAGTAAAGTAACTTTAGGAGATAATGTGGGATAGTTGAGTGACCATTTGAGTAATGGATTTTGAGACAATGGGTGTGCTGCGATTCTTTTGCCACTTTCAGACACTTTTCAAAGTCGTAGGGTCGTTTGGTTTAGAAGCAAATTATGAAAGAATTAGTATTATCCTAGATTTCTAAAAATAGTTGTCTCAAATTATTTTATCATTTGAGAAGTTCAAGAGAAATTAATTTTTCTTTTCTTGTCTACCCTTAATTTTAATTATTCTCGAAGACTATGAATACCTTAATTATTGTCACACCTTCTTTTTTCCGAGAGATCGGGGAGTTTTTCCCATTAAAGTGACATTAAATGAAATGGGATTAGTTATTTAATTCAGAGTCACCACTTGGGATAATTCTATGGTTTCCCAAATCACCGGTTTATTTTAAAATTTCAAATCGAGGAAATTTGACTCTGTTTAAAATGTGCAAAAATCAGAAGACCGGGTAAGAAATTCTATTAACCCGGGAGAAGGTGTTAGGCCTTCTAGGATTCTGTGATTTTAGCACGGCTTTAATCATACCTGGCTTAATTAAATTATTTAAATACTTATTTTAGAACCTATGTACATTTACCTTTTTACCGCTTTTAATTATGACGTTTATGGATTTATCTTTGAAACGGATTACATGTGTGTAAATCCGCTTTATTTGGGGCGTTAAAATCATGTCACGCGTACGTGTACACAATTTGTCAAGCTTTATTAATTATTAAGATTGTTATGTCCAAAGTCGCGTGAACGCGTACTTTGATTTATTTTTAGAAATCAAAATTATATCACGCGAATGTATATATAATCACGATAATGAATTAAAGAACGCACGTAAAGCATTATATGGATATTCATGATTTGTTTCCTTTTCCTAAATTTGAGATGATGGTAAAAGGGCATAGATTATGGAAAAGAGAAATGGTGTATGTAGGATTCAACTATTATGAACAGTTGTGGGATTTAGTACATTTAATTCGATTAAACAGTTGTGGGATTTAGTACGTTCAATTCGATTAAACCGCTCGTATTCGTTTAAAGCATTGAGCATGCATCATGCATCAACTTTCAAATACAGCCACAATGAACTTAAAACAGAGAAATACAGGTTTAAATTAGAATTCAATTTAAATACGCAACTTATTCTATAATCAACTACAACAATATGACCGCTTTACACCATTTACGCTAAATGCCAGATCTCGAGCATTTTACTGATTCAAAAGTCATACCCAATCTGTAAATGGGTTCTACTGATTCCACAAGCATTTTATTTCTTATGCTAAAACTAGGTCAAAGTTAATAACTCCAAACAATTATAATAATAAAATAATAACATAAAAAAATAAAAACAAAATTCATAGAACAGCTATGACTTCACAGTAGACTAGATATCATTTTTTTCAAGTCTAAACTAAAATCGAAGTCAATAGATCCAAACAAATAGCAGATACAATAGAAGACAAACACGTTTTTATATTAGAACAGATCTGGAAGAAAAATAGAATTTCAGTACAGACCTAACGCGCAAGAACTAATTTAATAAATCCAATTGCCAAATAAAGGTCATAAATAGCAGATGGAATTTAAAGGCAGTTGAGAGCGAAGCAGCAGCAGAAACTGTGTAATCCCAGACCAAATGAACCTTCGGCGGCTTCATAATCCAACAAAAGCTCCTAAAATTTCATTCTCAGACCTCAGTTTTTCCTAGCTTTGAATCTGGGGATTTGTTCCTCACTATCTCGTATCTGTATCCGAATGATAGTGAGGTGAGAATGGGCTTGTGTGATAGAGATAAAAGGAAGAGGGGTCGGCGGCTAGGGTTCTTAGGTGTGAGGGGAGTGTTTGAGAGGAGGGAGGGGCGACGCTAGGGTTTTATCCTCAAATAGGGAGATTCTAAATTTTCAATTAGGGTGAGGGTTAGGTCATTTACAGAGAGGGATGATGGAACGACGCCGTTTGGAAGGCTGATGGCGTCGTTTTGGGAGGTGAAAAATGGACCGAATTTGGATAGTGGGAATTGGGATGGTTTTGTGGGATTTGTGGGCAAATTTTGATTAGGAAATTTTTGTTCCTATACCATATAAGAAACTATATTACCAAATATGTTCATAATTTACATATTACCCTTCATGCTAATAGTATTCCTACAAAATATAGACAATGCATTAAATAAGGAATCATTGTAGCTGTAGGATTCCTTATTTAGGCGCGCTAAAATTGGGGAATTAAATATTCTTAAAGATCTTCCACAAACGCAGATCACGCACATTCCATAATTATCGTCGGCTTCACTCTGATCTTCCACAACGCAGGACAAGATTTTTCATGCTCTGTTTTTGCGATACACTCTGTTTCCAGAATTCTCTCTACATCTCTCTCTATCTCTCAATCCCAAATTACAGTAATACAAAGCAAAATGAAAAGAGAGCAGCAATTCCACCATTGACAACCATTAAAAAGCTTGAAAGCTTTGAATTCAAATTTGGGTTTTCAAAAATCATTATTTGTTTGGATTGGGTGTTGTTGAAAATAATTGGGAATATGGTTTAGAGTTTATATCTCAATTTTGAGGGGTTTTGGTGAAGATTAGACTTGGTTTTGACTGAATTTCAGATTAAAACTCGAAGAAGAAGAAGAAGACATGACATACATTATATTGCAGAAATTGTAGAAAAATTTATAGACTATTGTTTATTTATTTTTATTTTATTCATTTACCTATTGTATGAAAGTTGAACAACATTGTATAAAAATTGTATTAAAGTGGATGATTTAGTACTGTTTTGGACGAAAATATGTATAAAAAATATGAAACATATATTTCAGAGGAAGCATGTCGCTTCCAAATATGTACCTAGTTTGTAGATATTTTGTAGATAAATTGTAGATTATTTGTATTCTAATTGTAGATGCTTTATTTTTTGTTTTCACAAACAAAAAACCACTAAAACTTCTACAAATCTTCTGAAAAAACGCAATTATGTCAAAAATCCCAATTATGCTACAATTCTGTGATTCTCCTATATGCTCTTGTTACTCCTTATAAAACTGCTATGCAAAATATGGAATCCAAAAAAACATAATGAAGGGATAGATTTTCCTAATAAATTTTGTAGATAATTTGTGGAAATATTAAAATTCTGTATTTTCATATTAATTTTTCAAATGATATGTAGTTTTGTTGTAGATTAAATGTAGAAAACAAGCCATTGTGAGTCTCATTTGACTCATTCCTCACATTCAACCTATTCTACAAATTCACGCCTCTTTAAATACAATAAAACCATACTTCCTTAAATTTAAAGGTATAGCATTATATATAACTTAAAAAACATCTTCTCCTCTGCACAAGTTAGCTCCAAAACAAACGAAGTGGAATAACAAGCTCTCATTAAAACTTTTAACACAAAAACACAAAGCTCAAAAATAAATAAATAACATTCTACAATTTATCTACAATTTCTGCAATATAATGTATGTCATGTCTTCTTCTTCTTCTTCTCCAATCTGAAATTCAGCCAAAACCCAGTCTAATCTTCTCCAAAACCCCTCAAAATTGAGATATAAACTCCAGACCATATTCCCAATTATTTACAACAACACCCAATCCAAAAACATACCACATAACATTTGGATGATTTAATGCCACCGTCTCAGTCACAACTCGTGCAACACGAATTGTTGATGGGGTTCCACCTTTAAACGTATATTTAAATCTTGATGTGTCCCCAAAAATGCAAATCGGAGGTAAAGAATCATTTTCTGTAGTATTATATGTGTAATTGGATGGCATTTTTTCAAGAAAAATACAACCCCACATTTTTGAACCAGCCTTCCACCACATTTTAACTAATTCTTTCCTAGTAGACCATGCTTTCTCGTTAGATGCAATACTAAATACAATATGTTCAAGATTTGTATCTGATAATAATGTTGAATCATTTTGAAGCGAAACTAACTTGTGAAGTAATTTGGTGTAATTACACTGTGGTGATACGTGGGTGAGAGCGTGGGTTTAGGAGAGAGAAACGTGGGGTTGGGGATATGAAGGAATATACAGTACCATAAATTAAGGAGTGATATAAGGTACAATTAATGTATAGTTAAAACATCTTATGGTATAGAATTGGTAATTAGGTATACTAAATGTAATTATATCAAATCTTAAACATTGAGGGTAATATAGTTTCCTATATGGCATAGGGATGTAAAAATTCCTTTTGGTAAAGGACTGGGCCTGATTGCTGGTCCAAGTC